CGTATACTTTGTTACCTATAATATAACTTTATCATAATATTATTCTGCCGTCATAAGCAAAAACGCCGTAAGTCCTAAAAAAATAAAAAATGAGGTTATAAAAAAAAAATTATTGTGAAATTCAGCTTGTGTAGACGAATATGCCTTATGTCTGAAATATTACTCCAAACATATAATACAATCAATAATCAAATAACTTAAACGCCGTGATCTTATGAAAATACAAAATACAAAAACGAGTTTTTCTCAAAACCGTTCTCCGGTGACTTACGGCGTTTTCGCTTATGACGGCAGTATTATGGTAACGAATAACGCTATCGACTGATACGCAGATTCCAAGCTATACCCACTAATTTATTATGCTATTATAGTGTGTTTTTTCTCCACTGTTAATGTATTATGCCTCGATAGTCGGTAGTCCATTGCTCTTCCATTCGTGAACTTTATAATTTACTTTATTTTAAAGACCATTAATTCGTCTTATTGATACTTGACCGAACAAATAATAGTATTCCATTTTTTTCACACCATACCTATCTGGTTACACATATAAATTATATTTTATATTCGATATAAAATACATAATATTTAATTTCGATCATCTGTGTAAGCACCTACCCAACATTCTTAATTTTAAATTGGAGAATTATTACAACATACCTACCTAATAATGCTTGTTAAAAACAGTAAAAACTAAACGTTGGACTATACACTGTACGTCTATACCTAGGTACTGTAGATAATAGTATAATATGTTACCTTGTGTCCTTGTTAGATATAATATAATATTTTCATTCGACTTGTATTTTAAAATTTTGATTGATTGTATTAGGTTTATAGTCTGTCGATGATTTTATTGTCAACCGAGTTCACTATAACAATTAATCAAAAAAAAAAACAATACTACGTGACAGTTACAATCTTACAATCTTTCTCCTTCTAAAATACCATTTACGATTTAATATTACACGTTACTTTAATATAACCTCAGTAATATGCTCTTAGATAAACCGCTCTATTTTATTGAAGTTTCAGAAAAATTATATTGAGAATCCTCAATATTCTGAGTAAATTTCACTGAGATAACACGTATGCAACCTCTACGTATAAAACATGTAGTCACGTAGATACGTAGAGGTTATTGTTTTCATGTAAATTTACATCAGCTATTTGAGCCACTAAAATCTTCCATTATTATTATATTCAATACATAGTTATTATAAATTTAAATAATTTAATGCAATTAAAATTACCATTGTTCGTGATAAATATTCTAATTCAAATCTGTGATGCACACCTGTTGTGTTGTAGAAGTTAATCGTACAAGGAACATAGAACATTTGTGTTCAGCAGTTCAAATATTGTGTAGTAACTATAGTAACATAATATTTTAATACAATACCTATACTTGGGTATGAACATTATCTGTGTTTTCTCTTAGTTTTTTTTACGATATTTTATATTTTAAGCTAGGTAGTTATGAGAATTTTGAAATAGTAATACTTTCACCTTCTCGTAACTATCTTAAAAATAAAAATATCGTCAAAAACGCAAATGCTGATAATATACATGCCTTTAATTCGATAATGACCAAATGAAATTGGTTCTGCTGAACCCAAATCAAAATAGAGGACATATAAGTATATGAAGTATCACAAATTTAATACCAAAATACAAAGGTTTGCTTAACAGGGTTTGAAGTTAAATATATTTAAGGAATACAATTTATAACTATTAGAGTAATCACGAAACGATAGAAAAAAAAACAATAAATTAAATAAATCTATTATTGTTAATGGACGTTGCTCATCGGACTACCGGAGTGTGTATCTGGTATCATATGTTTTTAAATAATAAAATCCAAAGCGGCAAGCATTTGAAAAAATTAACCATGGCACCGTTCCTCGATATTTTTCCTCTGCAAGAAAAATGTATGAATCACATATTATAAGTTTTTGTTAATAATTATGAGTCATGGCAACGAAAAACTTACTAAAAATTGGCCAGAAACATATTTTTATCGTGTATCCGTCCCCAAAACATGTTAAAAAATCGGAGGAGATATAGCTATAGGACATAGGTACTGGTTAATAAATGGTGAGATATCTCTCTAAATAATAAAATGTCTCGATACGCTTGCTACTTAATACTTAGAAATGTGATTTAAGGATGGGCAAATAACGCAGTCATTAATAGTATGTATACCAAAATACGCTTAAAAATAAATGTCTTTTGGAATATACGCATCTCGCTTGTATTATGATTGCAGCGTATAGATGAAGTCGTCGGTTCGTAAAAAAATTAATATCTACTTCGAAGTGCGCACTGGTTTTGAAAATATTATAAACAAATCAAAATTTTTTTTACGAGATTCTTGTACAAAACCTATGGAAAATATTTCCAGAGCACGTGTGTCGCTCCGTGCACTCACATAACACACATAATAATTAATATGATGTATACAATACATAACAGTCATAACACCACATATTGGTATTTCCTTCGGAGGAATCGCGACCGAAAACCACAGTTCCCATATTATACCAAGCACGTTATGAGAACTAACGTACACAATATCGGAGACGACAATGTGGGGAAAATTTAGTGTTGGCTTTTTTTTTTTTTACACTTTTTCACACTGTCCCCTTGTGCACGGTACTGTCTGCAGTAACAGAATAATTATGGTCTCCGCCGCCGCATTCCGTCCCGGCGCTGTTTATCATATCATAATGTCGTTATAATATTAATTCTAAAATGTATAATATTATAACAGATAGTCGCTATAAATTTATTTGTTGGTGACACGGGGGAAAAAAAATCAGTAGACACTTCGCCTGGTGCAATATGCCCGTACATGACGTATAATAATATTATTGCACACGATTTATGGTGTGTGCAATGCATATTACAATGATATTGTACGTCATATTATAATATTATATATAAACGAGAGCGCCGCCGCCGTCTCCAGGGCAATATCATTATTATTAGGTATTATACATAAATTAATAATTATTATAAATATCGCGACAATTTGTTTTGCTGCAGACCCGAAGAAATATAATATTATTCACATAAAATATTATTATTATTATATCGCAACGGATTACTATCGAGCTGGTTTTCTTTTCGTTCTCTGCTGTACATTCACACCGCACATTTATATACCTATAATAATATTATACACATATTATAGGAACGTGTGTCACGTGACACGTATATAAATCTCTGGAACTTTATCCGGCGGACATCTGAAGTTTGCGATGGCCTCTTTTCCCGGGGTACGTATTAATTTTTCTATACTCGAAGACGATTATGATACAATATCATTAGAATATTTATGCGAAAAATATTATGCGATCATTACTATCGTTATAATAATAATTATTACGTATAATATGTATTTATAAGTCGCCCGTTGTACAAATCGTATATAAAATGTTATACCTGTGCACACAATATATTATCCGGTGACATGCGCATTATGTACGTATTTTTTTAATCGTCGACGTTTATCTAATTATTTAGTGACATATATTATAAGAGTGTTTAGTCGCTGTTGTGCAGTGTGGAAACTGGAAAGCGACGGTCTCGGACGAGATTTTCGGAGAGATAAAAATGTCGTCCTCTGTCTCTGCAGATCGTTTTAATTGCGGTACATCCACCCGAGCATAATAAACAATAATAAACATATTAAAAAAAAGGGAATGAGGTAAATTCATTGCTCGGGTGTCGCTCGCAAATGGTCTCAAAAACCAAAATTGTTTTTCAAACCAAACACACCGTCGTCGGTGCGGTAGGTATAGTGTTTATATTTTACAGAAGCTTACATTTTTTTTTCCGGGAAGGGTATATATTTTTAGTCGGATATATCATATAGAAATTACATTGGCTTTTAAAGAAATTGTTTTCGAACTGCCCCACATAGTTCGCAATTAAATTACCATAAATGGGCTATATTTGGGTAAATACTGCGAGAATACACGCGAGAATATACCTATTATTATCATCTCATCTAACGCGGACTAGGTACATTATTATTAACTATTAAGTGTATAGGTAATATGTGTAATTTCAATGAGCTATTTCGATGCGTTATTCGGCAGCGTCGCCTGAGGCAGCAATTATTAGATATTATTTACATCAAAACTATAATATATTTATATATAGGAAGACACATACGAACAATCCAAACTTAAATTTCTAAGTTCTAAACATTTTTTTATACTAATTATATATTATATAATATATATTATTTATTTACCTATACAACTGTCTGCCAGATTAGTCCTAAACTGTTTGTCCCCGTCTTAGTAACGTATTATAATTCGTTGTATAATTCAAAAGGTTCGTAACTTACAATAAAATCAAAAATTAAAATATAAAAAAATTCCTAAGTGAAGCCTTCGATAATATTCTTATTATTAATAATACTATAACTATAGGTTAGGTTAACTCATACTATTAAAAATAGTAGACTAAAAAAGAATTCTTCTGAACTTAAAATTTGTTTTGTGGTGTGTTGGTGAGACGGAGATACTTGTACATAATATAGTTATTATTTTTATTTTTCGTATTAATTAATAAAGATTAAATATATAATATAAAATCATAATAGTTTCAAAAGTTATTTGAGATTTTTTATTGGAATAATAAATAATATATATTATATTATAGTTAATATTTATTTAGGTTATAGATAACCATTACGTGCTCCCACTTAACAGAATGTAGTATGTGATTCAGAACAAAGCATAATAATCCAAATTATAATGTTATATATTGTTATTAATTGTCATAATAAAGACACAGTTAATAAATTAGGTTTTGTTTTCTTATTAGTTGTTATTACTTATATTAGGTACATACTTAAAATTTATGTACCTATAAAAATCAAAAACTTCAAAATTCACAAATGTTTTATTTTTTAGAATGATGATACAATTTTACTAAATAGAAGTAAAATGAAAGCCGAATCGTATTTAGAAGAAAAACATATAATGTCCTTGGTGAACCATTTAACCAGTACGTTGTTAATACACGAACCAAACGATCCAATAGAATTTCTCGTGAACCAAGTGGAAGACATAATACGTTTCCGGGATGACAGTGGCAAACCGCCGATTCTGTTCAACGACGACAATTTAACAAATGTTTTTAAGGGTGTAGACTATTTAAAAAAGGGTACGATTGATCTAAGTGAATACATCAGTGGTGAGTTTAAATAGCGGCGAGAATATTTGATACGCGATTACCTCCTACATACGCTAATCAAAAAGTTTAAAACATTTATGGGAAATAAAATTGGTAGTAGTGCATTACATGGACGAATTTGCTCGCTACTCGATGTCGATTCAATAGCTACCAATCTCGCTCAATTCTATACCTAGGCTAAGTCGTCTACTATCCGTGTGTTGAACACTCGCTGCTCGCCCAAATTTGACGACCTACTTTAGTCGCTACTCACTGGCTATTTCACTCTCTGGAGAGTGAAATCTTTATTTGTGTTATCGACATGTGTATAGAAAAATCGCTTAGTGCGCTAGAGAGTAGCGACTAGCGAATAGTGCTATAGAGTGTAGACTATAATATAATAGTCAATAGACAATATAGTGAGTAGTGACTATCAATAGTCGTGAGTCGTCACCGAGCGAGTTTAATACCTAAAGTGTAGTCGGACTATATAGTCACTGATATATAGGAACACGCTGGTAGTAAATTCTCCCAATCGTAATCCATTAAATATAAATAAGTATATCTTATATATATATATATATATAAAAATCTCGTGTCAGGTCTTTGTCCGGGATAAACTCCGAAACTACTGGACCTATCTTGATAAAATTTTTACAATGTGTGTAATTTCGCCAAACTTAAAAGATAGGCTAATTTAAAAAGGGAGAGGACCAACCCCGGGAGGTGCTCAAACGAGAATTTTGAGATTTCAGATGGAAATTTTTGTTTATAAATGGTTGCCATGTCGTATAAAATGATTCGTTCTAGAAATGTCAATCCAAAAATTAAAGTGAATCGTTTTGATTCGTGGCCACGAGAACAAACAAACCATTTATTATATAGGTACATCGACGATTTGTTATTGTACATATACATATTTAATCAGTATTACCTATTATTATGCGTCTATAAGCAATGATGGGTTTTTAAGATGTTTAATAATAATAAAAAAAAACTATTTGCTTTACTTTTTAAATATAAATTATAATATAATATCTAACTACAAAAATGTGAAATGAAAATCTCTGTACAGGCTAAACTTTGGAACTACTTATAAGATCTTCTTGATTTTTTTTTTTTAACGAAAGAGTATTTCATGGAGAAGGTTTATATAAAAGAAAATTTTGTGAAAATTTTGCCATTGGTTAATCGGGCATGTTTGTTGATTTGTATTATTATCTTTAATCCATAATCAGGATTTGACAGATCATCTGGAGACTGGAGTTGTTTATTAGTTGTTACTTATTTGGGATTCAAATTAATATAGATTTATTCACCACGCAATATGAGCACAGCCTATAATAAAATAAATTACTAATGATGTAGGTACCTGAATACTATTTTGTTATTTATTTTTTTTTTACTTTTGTATGTTAACATTTGTTACTTGTTACTATATAGTTAATAAAATATGTAGGTTATACAATTGACTTACAAATTGTACGATTATACTTACCTATTTATTTATTATTCTCGTTGACTAAAATAAAAAGTCCAAATCCAGATGATCCAGATGATCATTAGAATTATTTAATTATTATTGATTATAAATATTTTATATTCCCTTCTATAGTAATAATACTTTGTGAATTGAAAAATGTATTTTTATTAATTTGATGTCAATGATTTATTATTTATGGTTACCTACTGATTAGCTATGAAGATGGTAGGATTGAATGAAAACGATTTTAACCAGAATCCACAAGTGGACGAAACCAATCGAATTGCATGTAATATATTCGTATACGAGGCGTAAGTAAAATATATTAGGCACTATATACTTTTAACTTTTAAGTTTCATAAACTATACCTAAATTTTCATGAGCTAATATGAACATCTAAATCGTTTTAATTTTAAATAACAGACATTAACTATAGATACCTATTTAAGATTTATGATTGATTATACAAAGATAACTAATATGTTCCTATATTTATTTTCGAGTTAATATAATATATTACCGAAAAGAGAAATTCATAATATTATAAACCAATGAACATTATATGTCAATTTGAACAACATGGATATGTATAATAATTACTAAGTATCTCTGAATCATTCATAAATTACTTGGAATAATCGATTCGTAGCTACCTATAGGTTATTGACTATTGTGTATCAATATTTTTACTTATATTTCTATTATGTCGTAACTTAGGTCTATCGATAATGACATTCTATGTTGATTTTATAGGAAATATCAACTGGTGAGGATTTTCTCTTATATCATAATTTATATTATGAAACTCAATTAATAATACATTTTCTATAGTATTCTACTGTTAAATGTTTAATAGTTCAGACAACATTTGATAAAATGTATCACAATGTCTAAACCTATATTAACCTTGGGCATATTGAATTCGTCAAACTATAGACAATATGCAATTTATTTCATTTAAACTATAATTATTTATATATTTTAAACTATCGTTAACGACGATAACATATAATAAATATAGTACATTAGGGAAATAATTTCATAAGATATATCACAATTATTGTAATATATCTTATGAGTTTAACCAACTATAATATATACACGTCATATTTATCTACGGTATTTTTTTTCATAGCCCAATATGTTATAGTTGTAGTACACGATATAATAAAACATATTTTTGTAACAATCCAAAGTATAATATAATATAATATTATATAAGCATTAGAAATATACATATATTTTAGAATATTATACAGGGTAATAAAAATGATTTTATTCCAAATTTTACAGAAAGTTTGCGTTAATAAAACAGATGAACGCGATGATACAGTAAACGCAATAACGATAATTATGGGACACGTCATGTACAAACAACATACGCGATGGACATGTAATTGTGTTGAATTAGTTAGAAACTTATTTCTTCCTAAAATATATTATATAATAATAACGTTAATGGTTCTTTTTTTTTTTTTGTCTACCGCCTGTTGCACACATCACCGTATAATAATAATATATATTTTATATTATATGCGCGTAATGGGTCTCTTGGGCCTCTTGACGGTTTACACGGTCGTAACGGCGGGGTGGTTGAAAATAAATTCAATTTTTTTTCAAATCCCATTTAATATAGAGATATACAGTCGCGTCTTCATCGAACGAATCCCCTGAACACAATATTATATTACATTATACATGTATGGGCAGTGGGCACTTACACTGCGTGTGGAATATATCACAACATTCACAACAATAATAGAATTTTAGAGATGTACCTAAACACAATATAATACATGCACATGCTACGTATAGGTACATCGGTCGTTAAAACAAATTCAATTGTATCGATATTTGTACAATGCTCGTCCCTTTGACCCCCTTTTGTGCAACATCCCCCGAATGAGCGTATATTATATCCGTGAACGAGAAAAGCGAATGACCTAGTTTCTGAAACGATTATCCCAATTTGTCACGGTGACCAAAGCATTTGTGTACGAAAACATGTTCTTTTTGTGTTCGTATTAATAATATAGTACATATACTATATATAGAGGGTCAACAATGACTTGACCCCAGCAAAAGGGTTGTTCGGAATTTTAAGCGGAACACAATAAAAATCGTTTCCCATTTATGTATATTTACTTATATGGGAAGAAATGTTTTGTACTTATACCGCTGAGTCTGTTATAAGACCCCGTCGCTTTTGATGGAAGGTTTGAACGATGTGTGAAACAGTATACTGCTCCTAACATGTTTATGACCTGGGAGCCTAAAAACGTAAAAAAAAAATGTATACATAAATATTATTACAAGTTGTAAAACTGATATAAGTTTGACAAAAAAAGAATGTTATAATAGAACTCATTACCTGTGGAATAATTTTAATTTAAAAAAAAAGTATCCAGGCTATTGAGAAAATTATCTTTATATATTATGTAACATTATTATATTTTCTATAAATTTTCATATGTATACATCTGTGAAAATGTACAAATATAATTATATGTAAATAATAAATTCTAGTGGACTGCAGTTTTATATATGAATCTTTAATAGCTGTAGGTTAGGTTGTACCAATTATCATTAATAATGTAGTTATTTATGTTATATGTGATTATTATTATATTGACTAATGACTATTAAGTTCAGTTTAAATCGTATTTCCCGTGAGTAAATCATTAATATAATTCTGTTAACGAATTAATAGATACCTAAATTGTTACCTAAAAATATATTAACATATTGTATTATAATTATCTATAGGTTTAAAATTCATAGCTTTTTAAATATTACCTATAGTAAGAGATTCCTTCATCAACAGTTATTATTTTAATGATATCATTAAAATAATTATAAGATTGTTAATTAAATTTAACTAATATTATTTTTTTTTTTGTTTATCAACTAAGATTTAATAATATTTTTTACTATTTATTCTAAAATTACCAGTTACCAAAACGTGGAGTTAAAACCAATTTGTAATATTACCTTCCCATGATGGAATTAAGTGCATACCGACGGCATTCATTTATAATAAAATGACTGTAAAAGTGTTTGTGTAATAGATACTTTTATAATCAATTGATATTTTTTTTTCCATATAAAAGATTATTTTACAGTAAAATGTCAACCTTTTAAATGATTTAGATCCTTTAAAAAATATAATATAGTTTAATATTTTTCACTTGAAGTCGTATACAATTAGGTGCTTTTTATATAAATTATTATTATAAAATATATGATTATACTATATAATAATACTATAATATAGTGATTACTAAGTTTATGAAATAAGATTAGAATCGTTAATCTTTTTTATAGTTTTGTATTATTCAGGTAGGTACTCTTGTGATTTTGATAAATTCTTCCATTTAGTATTTGGTCAAGAGAACTAAAATGGTTCTCGTAGATATAAATGTATAATTATAATTAATGGGATCATTTGTATACATAGGTACACTTAGTAGTCTTTAGAGCGATACATATTGGAAGCATTAGTAAAATTATAATTGAATATAATTGTATTTGTAAATTCATGGGAAACTGTGTGATTATCATAGGATTTGTAAAGAAATTACAAACAACGAATAAAGGTAATCACTAATCAAAGTACCTACAAATGAACAAGAATTTGTATACCTATAATAGGTATGTACTACGAAGATATTAAACCAGCTATAATTCCTTAATCATATATTTAAAATTCCGTTTGGTTATTGATTACCATACAAATTGTTAATTATTTTTTCTAAATAATATATTTCATAAATGAGAAACAAAATAAAAACATCGAATAATGTACATGTGAAACCTACTCATGGCGTATTTAATATTATCTATATAGACCTATAATACATACGTTTATATATATTTTATAATATGTATACTGTATACAACATTACATGAAAGCTATACATTTTTACTGAAGAGTGAAGACAACTATTCCAAATGCGTTTTACAAATTCATATTAATCTCATTTAAATTATGTTTACTCAAATTATACCATAGTACAAAATGTACAAATTAATAATATGCGAGTTCGTTAATTTAAAAAACTAACTGCGTCCCACAAACCCACAAGTGATACTAAACATTTTAATTAGTTTGAATCAGCCTAGTATAGATAATATCTATAATATAAATGTATGGTAATTTTATGATATTTACATATACCCTAAGAATTAATTTGACAATAATGATCGAATTTTTTATCTATACCGCCATTGCCCATTGCCCATAGTTAGGTTAGTTTAAATGTGTTTATAATTGTTGATAAAAAAAGAGGATAATTTATAAAATATTTAATAATTTAAATACCTATATTATAATAGAATTCAAACATTTTAAATATTATTTGAGCGTTATGCCAATATATTATAATTTATAATATATATATGACAACTATAGTATAATATAACTGAATATCCAATGGTAAGATATTAAGATTTCACTCGAAACAGAAACTGATATGTCTACTAATAAATGACAAATTATACAATTTTTTGATTAATCATCAATTAAAAATTCCATTCTTAACTCCACTATATAGGTACCTATATATAATCAATCACCGTTCACCACCCTAACAATCTACCGAGGAGACTTAAAAGAACGAGACGCACCTGAATGGAGATTGCAGAAAATAAACCAATTAATTATTAATACGTTTGAAAACCGTTAATATGTTGATGTTAAAAATCATACTCAACATAAAGCAGAAAAAAGTTGTACTACGCATCATCAACTATACTTAGGTACCTACCTAAGTATATTATATTGGTCAAAATTAACTTCAATAATGAATAAATACATATTAATGTATTATTATAGAATATAGGTACTTCTAAATATTTATCATATCTCAAAATTCAAAATAATTTAAATAATTTTTGGAATTTTGATGAATTACAGGCAACGCCATAGAGATATTGAGTTAGGTAATGTAATTTTAAATAATTTATTCAGAGAATATTTTATTATTCATAATTTCAACCCCATAGTAATTACTCATTAATATACAATAAAAACACATCGATCTAACACTATATTCATATTCTGAATATGTACAGCCCTCCTATGGAGTCAACCACAGACATAATATATTTTATATTTAAAAAAAATTTAAAAACTTATAATCCGTTTTTTTTTAATAATTAAACTATGTGGGGTCATTTTCGATTTATTTTAAAATAATATGTTGGATAGTTATTATGAATAAGGTACTTTGTGAAAATAATATTATTACCATTTTTATAAATTGTATAATAAAGAATTCTCTTACTCTATGTATTTTAAAACATTTTTCACGTATCTGACAGATTGCACCTAGGTACTATATAAAATACCTATATGAATATAACTATAATTTAAAATCATAACAAGGACAGTAAAATGGCGATCTATCGTAGTTGTAGGTATCACGAAATCGGAGTGCAATATTTTGAACGGACATATTTTGGTATCGTCGAAACGGCAAAAAACACATCAAATTTAGCAGTAGTAGGTATAATAAAATTAGCACGGCACACATTTGTACACCCTACAGCATGGGTTACATTGTTACCTATATATAGGTAAGCTGTAGGCATCGATCTGTATGGGGGTGTAATTTGTTAGGTATTCGTTTCTCGTTCGAGATTAATATTGTTAATAAGATTATGTGGCACGATGTAATACTAATCACGTGCACTATATATACATCGCAGACGGTAGTGTTTAGTTGCGATTATTTCTACGAATCGTCACGTAATAATACACCAAACGTACACGGCCCATCCGTCCGGGCACCCGCTCCACAACACCGTCGATCCCTTTTGCCAAAAATCTATGGCCTTAAGATATTATATACACCTATAATAATACCACACGTATATATATATATATATTACATAGGTACATACCTACCGCACTAAATCAACCTGTCCGGAGGGTTGTTTTGCTGACCGTCGCGCGTCGTCGGGTCCGGTTCGAGCCGGAGGGGACGATTACGATTTTCGTAGTTCCGCCGCCGGGGTGCGTTTTTGTAATATTATTATTATTATTATTTTGGCTTCTCGTAGAGGAGAGCGGAGTCCGGTGAAACGTGTGTGGAACCCCGCGGGACCAAACCTCAAGCTGCGGCGGCAAACCGGTTCGGCTTTTATATTATATGCTCGTCCTAATAAACCCAATCGTCTGCGGCGGCCCCAAGGGGTTGTGTGGAGGAGGGTGGGGGATTCGAGCTCGTGCGCGCGCTCTTGGTCTGATATAAGCGCGACCGAACGAGAGCGGTGGCGGCGGCGGCGGCGGCGAGTGGCGACGGGTACGGATTCGCCGTCACTGGCGAGGTCAGTCTGTCGACGGCATCCACTGTTGCAGGAATCGTCTCGTAGCGGCGTCACGTTAGTCTATCGTTTTCCCGTCGGATTCGATCGCGCATATTATATTTTTATCAGTGCGGCGTGTTTCAGCAGTGCGCACGTCTTCGGATCGGTTCAAAATAATCATTATTATATTGCGACCAAGTTCTTGACCAAGCTCGGTTTTCGTTTTCATTTTTTTTTTTTTTTTTTGTGGTGTGCGGTGGCGGCAGTCAACCCCGAACGTAAACCTATGTGGCTGTACAAATATCGGTACAAAAGCGCGGGCGAACCATCGAGGAAATGACCGCCGCCGCGATTTCGCGGCTCTGGCCTGACGGCGGTGGTGTCGCGGGCCGGCCGTCGCGCCGTCCCCGCTACGTCGTCGAGGCCAAGACTACTGTTCTGCTGCTGGTGCCAATTTTAATGCTGGCCCTGGCGACGGCGTCCCGTGCCTCCGACAGCTGTGATTGGAGCGGAAGGTAAACATTTTTAATCGTACATCTCACTCGTAGCATTATGGCGTGTCAAGAAACTAGCCAAATAGTTCAGGCCCTGTATATGCACTCTGATGTTGAAACGGATTTTGTTTCGACGTTTCGTGATCTACTTAAAATATCAGAGTGTTTTTTTAGAAATCGACTAGAAAAGCTCAAACGTACCTGTCTTTAAACGTTGACTGACAATAGTTAGACCAGTGGCTCATTATGGCTGTTATAGTCATCGTGCTACAGTAATGATAGTCGATTATTTGGCGATTTACTTGTAATTAAAATATGTTACAATATTTAAATGTTTAGACACAATTTACACAATAATCCTTTATTTTTAAACCCATTAAACACAGTAGAAATCAATTTTTTTATACGAGTAGATCCACATCAATGGTATAATTAATTTTGTTTTTGATATCAATATTGTCGATAGTGTCAATAAAAATGTGTTATGTAATCTTAAGATTAGGAAAATAAACAATTGTGTTTGTATTCGCGTCTTATATTATAAACATATAATATATGCTTTTTTAGATAAAATTTATTTACAATATATTATATAGTAAAAAAATCATGATAACAGATATATAAATGTTTACAATTGTTTCGATCATTAATTTAAAAAAAAAATGTATTTTAACAATTCATTTACATTGTGACATTTTGTATCGTATTTTTCGTATTTCTATTTATAAATTTCTTAATGACATTGCATTATAATAAATTATATTATTGTAATATAGTATACACATTACCTATATATAGAATAACTAGTCCTCTAACTTAAATATACTATGTTAAGACTGAAGATATAAGGAAGTTTAAAATGTTTATGAACATATTTAATTATACTTATTAATTTAACTATAACTATTAAAATTAAATTAAATTAAAACATTTCTTGGTATGGATTATAAGTCTTAACGAATTGACAAGTAACATATATTTTGACATAGATGCACATTACTATATATTAATACTATACTTATATGTAGACATTTATTTTGTTTTTGTGTTTTATAGATTTATTTAATGGTTAGGTATAATAAATGTTATGAAAATCAGTTAACCACTGTTGTATACCTCGATAAATCGATATATATATATAATACATTATATTATAGTCTTTTATCTAAGGCCAATTAGGTTTCACTCCTTTACAGGACTGAACACAATTTTTTTCTTCTTCAATTAGGTCACGTGCGCAAAACTGGTTCCAATAAAGCTCTTGAAACGGACCGACCTGTTGAATACATTCCCTCCCCCGTGTTTTAATTATAACTGACAATGAAAAAAATATAGTCAGATAGGTACAGATGAGATATAAACCAGAATTGTGTGGTTTGCCAAATTCGGCATGATATTTATCCGGTCGTCAAATGTAACCAGTTTGTTTTTTTACTTTTTACTTTGGACAATTTTCCTCGTCACACACAAAAAATTAAATCAAGAAAATAATGCGCCCGTCGAGGACGCGTTATTATCACAAATTATTGATAAAAAAAGTCTCCTCGTAGGTGAAATAAATTATTATTTACGATTTTGGAACAATAATAACATCGTACATTTATTGTTCAACGACCGCTGACTGATCAATTTTATATTAATGTTTCACTCTTTGACTGTTCATAAATTATACTGCAACGTTTGCATATTTTGAGGACATACAAATTAACCGTATCGACCAACACAAAACGCGTGCCATACAAATTTCGTTGCAACTAGTATATAATAATTGTATAAAACTATAGTAATTAATGAGACTTCCTGTGGCTACTGGCCATTGTGTGGCTTATAAAGTAATTATTTTACTGTACCTATATAGTATATTGTTTGGGACACTTCGAGTTCCGGTCAATCAGAGTAACATTGTTGTACCCATAATAATCTTGCACGTTTAACATAGTATTATGATTATACCTACTTAGAGTGGTACACCTATACGTGGCTACACCTTTCTGTTTTTCTTTCTTCTTTGTCTTGCATACGGGTCGTATAACGAAAATTGTAATAATAAATGTAGAACAAAATATGCAGAGCCGCATAGGTTTAGTGTTTACTGTAGGAAGTAAATGAAAACCATTTACATCTATAAAAAACATACAATTTAAATGCTTTATACAACAGTAACAAATTAAGAAATATTTTTATTTATTTATACTAAACAATATCTATTTATGGAAAATGGTTTTGCGGCTTGCGATAGTATGAAGTGACCTAGTTATAATATTAGTCTGATTTTTCCACACTCGGTAGAAAAATAAAAAAATAAAAATATTTAGTATTTTTTTTATATATAAAATGTTGATAACATTATACATTATGCACGATATCATTATTACGACTATTGTTTTGTTTAACTCTCGCTTAGTGTATACATTTTAGTATTTCAGTGATAAATAAACTTCTTTTCATGGTCATTTTTTCATAAAAAAAATTTAAAAATTATTGTTCATGTACTTATTAAAGGACTGCGATTTTAAAATTTGAATAATTTAATATGCACCAAAATTATAAGATAGTTAATCGAATTTATATATATAATAGAATATATTGTTCATATTTATAAGTGTGTGTGTGTGTGTGTAAGTGTCTTATGATGTAAGTGCTCTATGAGTTATGACCTCAAATAAAATAGAGCAATAGTTTTGATTCCTAAGTCCTGACAAACGTTTATGAACGGTTTTCAGTTCCCACGAAAGCGCGCATCACTGTGCAATTTCACTATACAAAACGTCCCCCACGGCCGCCGATTCGTGATGTTCCACGTTCAACTGACGTTTTGTAACAAGATTAAAAAGAGCTGTTTTCTTCTTATACTTTCTCCAATATTCGTGATCAAGAAAAAGTTACCTACCGTTCATTTTATTTCTAATTAAACGCTATGTCACGAAATTATAAAAATATAGAGAATAATAGTGTTGCAGAAAAACGAATCTCGTTGTTTTATTGAAAAGATAACAGTTATTATTCAATATTAATAACCATTAACTACCCCGCGTTATTATCGCCCCGATAACGATATTTTTAATCTCGGTTCCCGCTGCTTACAAGACGCATATGCTCATTTAGTATAATATTATACTATTATACTAATAAAAACATACATTTTCCTATCATAATAGTATAAAATATATAATTTACCATGCGGTGAACGTAAATTCAAAATTAATGGAATTTTTGATATTAACTTTAGAATGATACACTTTATCCTTGTCCACTATATTTTCGTGAGAATAATGATTTTTCGTCGTGACTTATGCGGTAGAGTAGCCAATTATTTTCAAACGTGCACAACTCAAAATTAAGATTTTAAAATACTATACGTTTTTATAGAGAAGATGAACTCCTTTATATATTGTGTGTTCCAATAGCATAACTATTTTTGGCTGAATAATACATTTAATATAGTATGTATAACAGGTACTCACTCTAAATAATATAATACTTTGGTATACTATTGAAATCAAAATATTAACTGTTATTTGGTTATAAATTATAGAATAATAATTAATAATGATAACTAGTAGGTACATATACCTAAATTCATAAAGGTATTTAGATGTTATGAAAATTGAAATTGAAATCATTAAAACTTTTTAAACAATATAATATTATACATATATAACAATAAATTATATAATTAGATCTTTAATGTAAATAGCTACGTAAATTGTTTAATTTTAAAATTTTAAATATCTTATGGACTTAATTTTGTGGATTAAGTTCTCAGAACATCAAATCTAATAGTGATGAAACCAGTTTTTAAATAGTAACATTAGTTGTATAAGTCAATAATAGTTAGGATTTTTTAATTGAATAAGATAGATATACGCGTCGGAACGTCGACACGTATAATTACCGACGCCATTAATGGAAAGAGAATCGAATAAGATGATTAGTAACTGGCTACCGTCTGTACCCGGTCGTCTGCAGTAATCACACATTCAGTTGTTAAAATTTTCATTTGCACGATTCCCCCTTCTATTTTGTTTTTTATTTTTATGTTTTATTTTTGATTACGACACGTTCTGAGGGGGCCCGCAGCATGTAAAACGATACGACCCTTCAAATATTGTTTCAACACCGGCCATATTTATTTTCTGAGTATAACTATAATATAAGTCTATAACAACAGGTGGCGACGAAAGCCGTCAAGACTTCAATACACGTGTGTACGGCGATAAATATAATATTATTTGCTGTACCTAAAGGTTCATAATCCAACTATTAAAGATAAGAATAATATTTTACGTTAATATTCCACCGGGAATAAGTGAAAGCAGATAACGTGTTATTTCATCAATATTCTGTAACGTTATGAACATATCGCTGTAGATTTACCACCCGGAGAATTCATAATCCCGATCACAATACAAATTCTATGAAATTAATGGAAACATGTGTTTTTATATTAGATCACAGCGTGACTCTGAAACGGTAACAATGGGCCCACCTCGGTTCGATTACTTGGCACGTTTTATAACAAAAATAATTTTCTCTTCGACCAGCGATCAGCCCCCTTAGGTTACCATTGCTATTACGGTGTCTGGATTTGGGGATGATCACTCAAACGTATCGATCATCCGGGTGCGATTTCTTCTAAATTCAAGTCCTTTGGATAATTGGCCCTATTTCCAAAAATCGTGCGTGCACGCATTATCCTTTGTACAAAATTATAGACCTTTTTGCGGATCAATTGTATTATTATAGAGTTTTATTTTTATTATGAAGTTTTTAATAAGTTCAAACGATTACGGGTAATTGCACGTTGGTAAAGGTACTACGGCAATAAATAAAAGCATTACGGCGCTCGAGGCCCTTGTATTATATATATTTTATTTCAAAAAGGGTGGGTAAACGTTTTTTGGCGCCACACGCACATGCAACACATAACCCTGTCGGCAGAGGGACACCGCCATACTGGACCAGATGGCCGTCAATGTAATCGCAACATGTGGCATTGTTTTTGCTACTCAGTAAGGCAG